TCTTGAACAATTCTTTCACTAACATTATCAAGTGCACTTGTTGCTTCGTCTAACAAAAGAATGGTGGGTTGTTTGACAAGTGCACGAGCTAATGCAATACGTTGTTTTTCACCACCACTCAATTGTATACCACGTTCACCAACAAGTGTTTCATATTTCTACAAACAAAAAGATTAATATATACATATAAATAATTAAGAACAAACATTTGGTAATTTCATAATGAAGTTATGTGCATTAGCTTGTTCTGCTGCTTGTTCAATCTCTGCACGTGTTGCATTCATTTACCAAAACGAATATTTTCATAAATACTTATTCCAAACAAAATCTATTTTAATAGAAAAATTTGACAAAAGACTAAAACAAATATGAAAGAAATTTACAGGTTCTTGACTAACGACTCTAATATTATGTCTAAATTGTTTGATTTTATAATCTGTAATTGGTTGACCATCGATCATGATTCTGCCTGAGGAAGGTTCGTAGTAACGAAGAAGAAGTGATACACATGTACTTTTTCCTATGAATGAATTTCGATATCAAAATGTTATGTTTGTTTTAGAAAAAAAGATTTACCACAACCACTTGAACCTACAAGAGCAGTTGTTTGATTAGCACGAGCAATGAATTTAAGATTATTCAAAGCTGTTGCATTTTCTCTCGATGGATAAGAAAAAGTAACATTGTCAAATAGAATATCACCATTAATATTAGAAATCGATCTGTCATCAGATATGTTTTCTTGCAATATTTCTGTTTCATTGATATTTTCATCATGTGCCTATATCATAAAATAAATTAGAAAATATAATTGTCAAGGTTTAGTCCCTAGTATATATATATATATATAATGTATTTTACCTCATCGATAAGTCGAAATACAGATATTGCTGCACCTTGAGCTTCCGAAATTGATTGGAAAAAAGGACCAATTCCATTAAGAAAACCTAAAGCTTGTGCAAACATATTTACAACCTAAACAAAAGTTCGTTTTTTAGTTACTCTCTTGCACATTGATGTTATAGCTGACTTACAACAAGAATATCACTAATAGTCAGTGTGCGATGATTTCCATAAGACATAAGAATAGAACCAAAAGTGAACCCAATTGAATAAACTAGAAAATTTACAAAAAATAACCAACCAAAAAAAGCACCAAATGCAGCATCTTTGCGAACAGTATACCATTCGTTTAATTTTAGTTCTTTTTCATATCTAGATAGAATAAACTATAAATCTTTGTTTATTTATTTATTTATTTACTGTTTTTGTTGCGATTTACTTCCATT